AACGTCAAGATTACTTTTTCAAAAAGAACAAAATCTGGTGAAAAACTTCAGTATATTTTCAGATCCGTGCAAAACTTTATCTGATAGGTCCAAAAAAAGGAGGACTAAAGAGATGTGTACGAGGTTTAGTCGTGCCGAATTATCGTTCGATACGCATACGAGTCTTCGGTCTTCAGGGCATTCAGACGCTGCTAAGATTGTGAATGATGTTACACTGTCAGGTCCATCCAAGGCAAAAAAATACAAGGAAGACTTGTAACTATCATTAAATTGCCATCATTTTATGATGCAAATAAAGCTTTAGCACTTCTGTTAGACCTAAATTTCATAAGAAACTTGTTCCAACATTAGCGAAATGAGGCAAAAAGAATCCTAAATACATTTTATTCACCATATTCAGCTGTATTGGCAATAAAAAAATGTTGCTGCCCTCCAGACGACATCTTAAATTTTACCCAATCAAAAGTTGAGGTATAGTTGCGATCTTTATTAGACCACACCGTTCAACGTGTTTTACCGCTGAACCAAGATAATATTACATATAAGAGTGATTCAGAAATATTGAATATGATTTTGATTTGTAGGTAGGGTTTTGACGGTCCATCGGGACAAACAATATACTTCCAAACAATTTTAAAACATTGATGGAATTTTGCAATGACCGGTAACCACTGCATATCTACAGTACGGACTGTCAACTCTAGACGCCTGAATTCGATATTTTGAAGGCATTTTATTTAAGATACAAAAGAAATAAAAAAAATGACAAGCGCATAACAAAGAAGTTAAAAAGGAAAAAGCAAAAATAAAAGCTAGCATCCAAAAAGCTTTCAAAGAGCAAGTAGGAATTTTAGTCGACATGCGAAAGCAAGGGTGAAAATGACGTTGAAAAATTTCGAGATTACGCCCTAGCAACTGTAAGACACTATATCAAAGCATATCCCTGGTACAACATACCAACATCAGTACATAGATTGCTGATCCACGGACCAGACAATATTTTTTCGGTCATTTTACCTATTGGTCAACTGTCTGAGGATGCTCAAGAATCAACCAATAAGTTAATAAGGGTTTTTCTCTAAAGTTTTTAAGAATTAAGATTATGGAAGACGTGTTCAGGGGATTGTTGGCAACCACAGACCCCTATGTTTCATCTCTACTAAAATAGCACCAAAATTTCAGACTTTGTTGTGAGAGGCTGTTGCCCTCTTGGTTCCTGTTGCTGAAAACTATGAAGTCTCTGACGCAAATGCTGAGTAAACAGGCTTTGAGAATAATGAAGATTTCAACAATGAGACAGATAAAGATGAAAAAGAACCAAAATGATCGTAACTAAAACAAAATGTTTTTTCTATACTTAATACTGTCTTCTATCATTTAATCCATTTTTAGCATTACACATATGATCCACAATTTTGATTTTTAATTTTTTTAACTTTTTTTTTTCAAGTTCTTAAATTGTGGCACGAAAAATTGATTCATTGACGAGATTAATAAAATAACTACATAGATTTTACTTAAACAGGTTTTAGAAGCTCTTGAGCACGTCCATGTTATAGGGGACAATGTAATAATAATTTCATTTATCAGTACAAGTGTGACAATGTTATTTTTTTAATTTAAAAAAAAGATTTGTTTGCAATATCCCTTTACAGATAAAACCAAAATATTTTATAGATATTTCACAATATTGCCTTTCTACAAAAGGATCATTGGGTATACAATAACATATAAAATTATGATTATAATGACTTTGAAGCATCTATGAACGGTTTTGTAGGAGAACTTAAAAGAAATTTAAATAGTGACTCGATTCTTTTTATAAATATTTAACTTATCAAAGAATAAAGACATATATAATCAAAAAGTCAACAAAGAAGTCAAAAATCTTTTTATTGATAAAGTAAATAAAGAAGTTATTCGGAAAGTATAAATAAATAAAAGAAATAAAAATACATTATTCAAATACATGGAAATAAATAGGTAACATTGTCAATATTTTTTGTATATTTTCGTTTTAATGCCGTGTTACTTGTGCTATTTTTTTTTATTTTCTGGTACCTCAAGCTTTTGATAATTTCTTAAAACCATACTTTAAATATAAACTTCAGTGACTCATTTGGTTATTTGGTATATAGTAACAATAATAATAATGTAAAATGCTATAAGTAAAGAGCAAGAAAGAAAGCTAAAATCAATAGTTTTAACCAAAAAATATACTTATAAAATAACCTTTACTTTTTTTGAAAATTTAATAAACATTAATTTAAGATTGATTTATTCCCATAAAATATAAAATAAAATTGAATTTGGCAATATTTGCAGAATATTATCTTTTTGATATTAGATTTCAATTAGTTTCCCTTGTCTTCATTTGCTCTCTTTACCTAAAATTCAAAAAAAAAAGATTTTGTTTAGCCAAATGTAATTAATAATATTTTACAATACAAAATAATCCCTAATAAATGTAATGAAGTTTTTCTCTAGTTTTATATATTAAACCGAATAGCCACACTCTTTATTTCACTTTATTTGAATGTTAAGCAGTTTCAATTTAACACTATTAGAGTTTGTTCAAGTTTGACTTTCTCAACTGCAATCTTACAATATTCAAGTTTCATTTACGCATTTGCTTAAACATTTTTTTGAGGTCTAACTTGAAAAAGTAATACTTCAAAGTTAAAGTTGAATTTCACTCAAGTTTGCTTCTTACATACACTCTAGGTTTAGTAAAACCGTTTTAGTAAAAAATTTAATGGATAAGTTAGCACCTTGGGGCAACTTATTCATTGATTTTTTTAACTGTGTAAAGTTAAATACAAATTTTTTAACCATAAAATATTTTACTCAGCTAACGTTACTCTTGTGAAATATTGCACCGTAGGAAAATGAACCAAATATATTTTTTATGATGATCCAAAAATATAGAGCTTTAATAATTTGATAATTATAAAACTGGTTTAAATTAACGATATAGATACCACACATTAAATAAAATTTATGGTTAAAATTTTTGCATAATTTATGTTAAAATATATATTTTGATATTTGTTGAGGAATTCTTTTATATTAATTTTTTACCAAAAAGTTGTTTACAAAAACACGTTTTATTTTAAATGCGTATTATAATGTTATTGTAAAAAGGTCTTTAAAACGGCGATAAAACAATACCGCATTTCGCATAATTACGTTAAACAGTTATAGTTTTAGTTTTAATACAAAAATTCATATTCCATAAAAAAAAATTCCAACATCACACTGCACTGTGCACCAGAGAGACAGCCAGGTTTTATGCCGTGGCATTCAAATGAAACCTTTTTTATTCAAAAGTAATTGTATTATAGCAATAAAAAAAAAAGATTTTCAAAATCCAAACAAATTTCTTAGGGTAAAATATAGGGCAAAAGGATAAATACAAAGGGGGCATAGGCACATAAAGGTAAGCTAGTTGCACGTTAAAAAAAACAGTTTTTTATTCAAAAGTATTTGTTTAACAAAAATAGAAAAAACTTTTTTTTATAAAAGAAAAAAGTTAAAGGTCGTAAATGGGGCAAAGGGTAAAATTGAGGGGTCCTAGGTCCATTTAATATTTTAGATGCCCGTTACAATATTTTTTTTTAATAAATGTCAAATATTTTTAACCAAGTACAAACAAACAAACAAACAAAAAAAAAATATTTACAATATTTATCAAAATATTGTATATATTTCAACAAAATTTGAACAGCTCTTCTTCCTAAACCGGAGCAAAATATATATTTATATGTATATATATATATATATATATATATATATATATATATATATATATATATATATATATATATATATATATATATATATATTTATGTGTGTATATATATATATATATATATATATATATATATATATATATATATATATATATATATATAAATTTATAAACAAAATCAAATGCTTTTTGCTACAAATTCAACTACTGCTGATAATAGCCAGTCACCATGATCGGAATGCTTTTTTCGCCTCTTAAACCTTGTCCATGCTGGTTTAAACTTTGCATGAATACTTTCTCTACATTGTTCAGCAAAGTTATTCAATCCTTTGTTATGGTGTTCCACAAATGGCTGTACATGACATAGTAGAAATTGGACATTCCATGTTGTGTTTATTTGTTTATTTAAATTTATTGCAACTTCTTGTGCGGATAGAAATAAATTCTTTAAAGTTGTTATTGCTTCTATGAAGCCAGTTTGTAATTTGCTGGAAAAACAATTTTTCTTTTCAATCAAACTTTCTGTAGCCATTTTACTTTTTATATAGCTATAAATAAACAGTTGAATTTGTTCGTTTAAGTTTTTATTCATTTTTCAATGATTTTGAACAAATCATTGAAAAATGAATAAAAACTTAAAATTTCGCTATACTTTTCCTAGCAACAGCAACAAGGAGAATATATATATTTAAGTGAAAGAAATACAACTCCTAATTAACACAACCTTCTGCAATATGAAAATTTATTTACTACCATTTTTTTCATCTTGAAAATTTTTTTGATTAGTTAGTACAGTATCAAACTTATATGTCCATTTAAATTAATTTAATAAATAACCAATTCTTAGTTAAATATATATATAAAAATTTGTAGAAAAATATTTTTTTTAGATTTATAATTTAATTTTTAAATATTGAATAATATTTTTTACAAAATAAACTATGTTACCTCCAAGGTAACATAATTTACTTTCCAAGGATTAAAACTATTTTTATAAACACTTTTTTAAGTTTATAGCAACGCGATTCGATTTCAAAAGATATATTTTCTAAAATAATATATATAATACTTTCATATATTAAGGACTTGGTTTGAGTGCCAAGACAAAAAACCTGGCGGTCTCTCTGGTTCACAGTGACTGTTTTAGTTTGGACGAATTAAGATAGTTTCGATTTCGATGGATTAATTTTACTTCATTGAAAAACTCGCAACTAAAGGGCTAAAGTTCTTAAAAACAAATAACAATTTGTTTTAACTTTTCTTTTTAAGTAAAAGGCGGAAATAAAAATTGATTAGTTAAAGGTATCATTATTTTTCCAATATAAATTTATATCAAAACTATAATATTTTACAATAAGATAATATTCTTGTTTCTTTTAAAATAACTATTGAAAACATTTTTTGCTTAAATTTTTCAAACTGTTTATAAAGAAAATAACAAGAAAAGCTCTTTAAAATTTTATATTTTAGATATCCGTCAATTGAAGTTCTTACTGAATTGTAATGTGAAGCTGAAACAAAAAGTGTTTTAAAAACAAATAGAGTTGTAAAATTAAATTGTAAAATCAACGAATCAAATTAAAAAGATTTTAATTTGCTTTAATCTATAAAATATACTTTAATTAACATGTTTGGTTAAAAAGCGTGTTTTTTAAATTTGATTGGATAAAATGATATTATAATTTCAACTTAATATAAATTTTTTACTAGATAAGTCACAACACAGAACTGTCTTGAAAAAGAACAAACGAGTATGAATTCATCT